TAACCCTAAGCCCCTAAAAACTCAGCCCCAGACCCTAAACCCTAAACCCTAAACCCTAAACCCCAAACCCCAAACCCCAAACCCCAAACCCTAAACCCTAAACCCTAAACCCTAAACCCTAAACCCTAAACCCTAAACCCTAAAGGTGCCTGTTCGCCGGCCCTACGTCGGCCCGGTGACCTCGGCCAGCTAACGCCTCGGAGGGGAGGGGAGAGGCCCCATGGATCCATGTACCAAAAGGGTTTAGGGTTTAGGGTTTAGGGTTTAGGGTTTAGGGTTTGTCGGGTTTGTCGGGTTTGTGGGTTTTACAGGATTTGTAGGGTCTATATATTCGGTTTATGTGGTGTTGCAGGGTTTGTAGGGCTTATAGGGTTTGTGGGGTTTACAGGATCAGTCGGGTTTGCAGCTAGGTAGGGTTTTTCACGTGTGTAATGCGTTATAACTTCACGTTGAACTGAAAGCCACGTGCACGTGTTTTTTTTAACTCAGCCGCCGTGATATTTTTTACGCGTGCTACGTGTTATCATGGAACTGATCCTATGCAGTCTTCAAAGTGGCGTGTTTGGTCTTTTCAGGGATAGACTACATTGTGACTACATTCAAGCAACGCTGAGTTAGATCCAAGCAAGGCCTGGCCTGCATGTCTGCTGCTGTTTTGACACCGCAAAAGAAATGACGAGGCCCCCAGAACAGGTGCAGATCTTCATTTTACAAAGATTGCTGCATTCTGCTCGTCCGGAGAAGACAGGCTGAGCCCAAGCTACATTCCAAGGGGTTGAAACTTAGAACTTCGCACCCTGCGGCCCTGTTCTCCCTGTTCTGTGGTCGTTTGTGGCGCCATGGGGCGGCGTCATGGTGATGACCGGGACAACCGAGAGGTCATGGCCTTGCTTGAGAAGCACTTGGTCGCAGTGGCTCCGGGTGAGACAAAGAACGTCCGTACCTTTTATGCAGGACGACAGGAGGTCCAAGTTCCAGCTGACAAGAAATGCAAGCAATAGAAATGCCTCCATTGCGTGGCCATGTTCGCTGGCGACGCCAGAAGATGCGCACGCCACTTCCTTCCGACCTCGCTGCCGAAACGTCTTGAGCTTAGTCGAACGCTTGGCGTGTGGACAGTGACTGTTTACACAATTGACAGCACCCTCAAACCTGCCGTGGGGCTTTTGCTAGTTCTTGTTTTCGTCCCATTGTTTCCCCAGTGCTCCCTCAGTTCCACGTGCACTCAGATGATTGTTCCAGTGGCCTCAAAGATGACACAAGCCGTTTAGATGTGCAGAAGTTTCCACTTTCAACCCATTGAAGCTGGCTGCAGATGCAAGTCTTGCCCGATTTTGCCCCGCAAACCTGACGTTTGGGGGGTCCGAACCTGGAAACCTCAACGTGTGGGGGGTCCAAACCTGACATTTGGGGGGGTCCAAACCTGGAAACCTCAACGTTTGGGGGGTCCAAACCTGACGGGGGTCCAAACCTGGAAACCTCAGTGTTTGGGGGGTCCACACCTGATGTTGGAGGGGGTCCAAACCTGGAAACCTCAACGTTTGGGGGTCCAAACCTGACGTTTGGGGGGTCCAAACCTGGAAACCGCAACGTTTGGGGGGGTCCAAACCTGACGTTTGGGGGACACCTTGAAACCTCAACGTTTGGGGGAAACCTGACGTTTGGGGGTCCTGGAAACCTCAATGTTTGGGGCGTCCAAACCTGACGTTTGGGGGGTCCAACTGACGTGGGGGGGGGGGGGAACCTGGAAACCTCAACGTTTGGGGGGTCCAAACCTGACGTTTGGGGGGTCCAAACCTGGAAACGTTTGGGGGGTCATGGGGGGTCCAAACCTGACGTTTGGGGGGTCCAAACCTGCGTTTGGGGGTCCAAACCTGACGTTTGGGGGGTACAAACCGGAAACCTCAACGTTTGGGGGTCCAAACCTGACGTTTGGGGGGTCCAACCTATAACGTTAACGTTTGGGGGTCCAAACCTGATGTTTGCGGGGTCCAAACCTGGAAACCGCAACGTTTGGGGGGTCCAAACCTGACGTTTGGGGGGTCCAGACCTGGAAAACTCAACGCTTGGGGGGTCCAAACCTGACGTTGGGCGGGTCCAAACCTGGAAACCTCAACGTTTGGGGGTCCAAACCTGATGTTTGGGGGGTCCAAACCTAAACCTGGAAGCCTCCACCGTTAGCTGGAAACCTCAACGTTTGGGGTCCAAACCTGACGTTTGGGGGGTCCAAACCTCACGTTAGGGGGGTCCAAACCTGGAAACCTCAACGTTTGGGGGGTCCAAATTGATTGGAAATCGAGCATTCGAGCACTCTTGGGCCAATCTTAAGGTTTCCCCCTTTTGGGCCTTAAGGGGGGCCTTCTACAGGTACTACAGGCCCTGCATGTTGGGTTACAGATGACCTGAAAATCTGTTTCAGGGGATCGAAACTGCACCACGGACGCATCACGTAGGTTTGAAAGGGTGGGGGACGGACGGATCTGACAAATGAGAGGGGGTCCTTTCTTCCCATGCATCTTTTTTAAATTCCTCGAAAATCAAGCACTTGTGGGCGGATCCTGGGGTTGCCCCCATTTCGGCCCTCTACAGGCCCTGCGTGTTTAGGCTTACAGATGACCTGAGTCTCTGTTTCAGGGGGTCAAAACTGCGCGCCGCACAGGGTTGAAAGGACGGAGAACGGACGGAGGGACTTTTGGGCCCATCCTGGCTCCGCCTTATGTGGGGGGCCTTCTACAGGCCCGGGTCTGAAAAATGAAGGGGTCATTTCTTCCATATGAATTCTTTGCTAAATTCATTGGAAACCAAGCGCTTTCGAGCCAATCCCGGGTTGCCTCCTTTGGGCCTTATTTGGGGAGCCATCTACAGGCTGCGTATGGGCTTACAGATGACTTACAGATGACCTGAGGCTAAAATGAGGGGGTCATTTCTTCCATATGAACTCTTTGCTACATTCATTGGGGCCAATGTCGGGGTTCCCCCCTTTTGGCCTTGAAGGGGGGGGCCTTCTACAGGCCCTGCATGCTACCTGAGTCTCTGTTTCAGGCGGCCGAAACTGCACCAAGGACGCGCCACATAGGTTTGGAAGGACGGAGAACGGACGGAGGGACTTTTGGCCCATCCTGTTTCCACCCAAGTGGTTATGTGGGGGGCCTTCTGCAGGCCCGGATCTGAAAAATGAAGGGGTCATTTCTTCCATATGAATTCTTTGCTAAATTCATTGGAAATCGAACACTTTTGAGCCATTCCCGGGTTGCCCCCTTTGGGCCTTATTTGGGGGCCTTCTACAGGCCCTGCGTATGTAGGCTTACAGATGACTTGCAGATGACCTGAGTCTCTGTTTCAGGGGGTCGAAACTGCACCACGGATGCACCACATATGTCTGCAAGGACGAAGGACGGACGGATCTGAAAAATGAGGGGGTCAATTCTTCCAAAAGAACTCTTTGCTAAATTCATTGGGGCCAATGTTGGGGTTCCCCCCCTGTTGGGCCTTCCGGGGGGGGGGGCCTTCTTCTGGCCTTGCATGTTTAGGCTTACAGATGACCTGCGGCTCTGTTTCAGGGGGTCGAAACTGCGCCAAGGACGCAACACGTAAGTTTGAAGGACGGAAGACGGACGGATCTGAAATATGAAGGGATCCTTTCTTCCATATGAATTTTGCTAAATTCATGGGACATCACTTTTGGACCCTCTCGACCTGGTCTCTCGACCTGGTCCTGGTACGTCACACAGCCTGTCAGCACAGACCGACCAAACGGAGTTTTGAGCTTGAGGGAACATTCGATGTTCTTGCAGACTTGCCGAAGGAACGTGTCGTCAGCTTTGGCACCTGGGACCTCCTTACAGGGGTTTGAAACTAGGATCCGGGGCAGACCCTAAACCCTAAACCCTAAACCCTAAACCCTAAACCCTAAACCTTAAACCCTAAACCCTCTATAAGGGCGCTGCTGGTACGTGCTATAGGGTTTAGGGTTGAGGGTCTGGCGACAAAGCCTGTGCAGCCTGAATGGCAAGGCTTCCTACGTTTTGAGGACCCCAAACCCTTAATGGCACACTTGCCAAGCTTTGAGGATCCCGAAACTGCACCTATGCCTTTAGCGTAAATGGTGAACCCAAAAGCCCCGCACCCTTAATGGCACGAACTTTCCAGGCTTGCAGGGCCCTGAAACTGGCTTTGGACATTGCGTTTCAGGTCGTAAGCGCTGAACCCCAAAGCACCGAAACCCTCAATGGCATGAGCTTGCCAAGCTTTCAGAACCCTGAAACTGACAAAGCATGGCCCTGGCGAGGCATCTTGGGACGTGACGAAGTGCATGCCCGCTGGCCTCACCGATCCGAAGTTCTGGCGAACCATGATCTGGTTTGCGGAACGCGCCATGTTGCAGCTCATCCCTGTGTACTTCGCCGAGAAGAAACAGCAGAAGAATTGCAAATCCCAACTGCATCAGTACCTCTCGCAAACTGGAGTGTTTGACCCCTGGTGGGATGACGGCAACTTTTCCCAAGCAGCCAACGCAGCAAAGATCCGCCCCATTCCTTTGTCCCAGTTGTGGGCTACCGAGGAGATCTCTGCCCCGGAGCTGAAGTTCATCATGCAGCGCTTGGTAGGTGCACAGACGCGGGAAGTGTTTGCGTGTGTGCACATACGTGATTTGTTTCGAAGTTTTGGAGATCTAAAAGCCTTTTGGAAACCTTGGAGTCCCTGTCAAATCCTCCTGAAACCTTCTTCATGCAGTCCGGGACAGGCATGTATTGTTCCCAGTCTGCGTCAGAGCGCATCAACGGATTGATCAAGTTTGTGACGGGCGACCCTTTAAGAAACAACTTGAAGTATGACACGAGATGCAGCTTGGCCACAGTCGCGAGCAAGTACAAGGCCATGAAAGGAGGTCGCAAGGAGCACAAAAGTTGAAAAACACTCTTCCTACCCTAGTGGTGTTCTGTTTTGGGAAAGGGTCGGCCAATCGCATTACCCATGAAAACATGTGTGATATCGACTAGGAGAAGGAGCAAGATGGCTTCTGGCAGGAGGACTGGAACATGGAAGCCGATTCAGATGCGGAAATGTGGTCGGACGAGGAGGAAGCAGCCGCCGCCGGTGCCGGCCTGGGCTTCGCCGCGGAGGATCCTGACTCCGATGAGCAGGAGCTCAGCGATGACAACGGTGCAAGTTCTTCATCGGAGACGTCTGAGAGCAGCGCAAGCGATTCCGATTGATGTATCCTGCAAGGTCGTCGCATGCTCCAGGGTGTCCAAACGTAATCCCGCTGGTGTAAGAGGCAACACGGATCGCGGGCAACACCGTACTCAATATGACGGATTGCTGGCGCCCTGTAAATGTTGCAGGCCCCCGGAATCTGAAATCATATGCTCCTGGCCCCGGAAGCATAGGAAATGCCCGCCACGAAAAGCCAAAAACACTAAAACCCCATCCCTTAAACTTTTTGGACGCCTCAAACCCTAAAATCCCAACCCCCCCGACCCCTAAGCCCTTACAAACCCAGACAAGTCCCTGACGGCGCATCCTAAACCCAACCGCTAAAGACCCCGAGCCTTTCACCTAGACAAGTAGACCCTGAGTCGTATTCAGCAATGATCCTTGCAACTGCGCACCTGCACAGAGCAGTTTCGGGTTGAGTTTCTTTTGCCCGCGAGACACAAGCAGCCCCATATGCGATGTGGTGCCGCTGTCGATCCTTGCTTTTAGGGGGCCCAAACATAGTTTCATCTCTGGTCTGTAATCTGTTGGGGAGAGTTTACTTTATTTGTTCCATAGAGACTCAAGTTGTTGTAGCCAGCCATGGATTCGGACTCCTTTAGAAGAAAAAAGGATCGTCGGCAACAGTACAGGTCTGGCGGATTCTTGGGACCCTGGGGCACTGCTCCCTTGCAGCCCGACTACAAGTAAAACGTTTGAGGCCTCCAGAACCACAAACAAAGATCCCTGCAACATCTGAAGCCCTGGAAGCCCGAAAACGAACCCCGAACAAACCGAAACCCCATACACCCCTAACCCCTAAACCTTCTGGAGCATTGAAACCCTATGCTGCAAGGACCCTTCAACCCTTACGAACTCCTGGAAATCCTTAGAGACCCCTAAAAGCCCCGAAGCCCGTGAGCCTTTCAAAGCGCTAAAACCCGAAGCAGTCGCTTCTAGGGAAAGTCGGATTCAGCAGTGATCCTTCTGCGCAGAGCAGTTTCGGTTTGAGTTTCTTTGGCCCGCGAGACACAAGCAGCGCCATCGATCCTTGCTTTCAGAGGGCTCAAACATAGTTTCAGCGCTGGTCTGTAGTATTTGGGGAGAGTGTACTTCATTTGTTGCATAGAGACTCAAGTTGTAGCCAAACATGGATGTGGGCTGGCGGATTCTTGGGGACCCTGGGGCACTGCTCCCTTGCAGCCCGAGTACAAGTACAACGTTTGAAGCCTTCAGAACCACAAACAAAGATCCCTGCAACACCTGAAGCCCTGGAAGCCCGAAAACGAACCCCGAACAAACCGAAACCCCATACACCCCTAACCCCTAAACCTTCTGGAGCATTGAAACCCTATGCTGCAAGGACCCTTCAACCCTTACGAACTCCTGGAAATCCTTAGAGACCCCTAAAAGCCCCGAAGCCCGTGAGCCTTTCAAAGCGCTGAAACCGGAAGCAGTCGCTTCCAGGGAAAGTCGGATTCAGCAGTGATCCTTCTGCACAGAGCAGTTTCGGTGTTTGAGTTTCTTTGACCCGCGAGACACAAGCAGCGCCATCGATCCTTGCTTTTAGGGGGCTCAAACATAGTTTCAGCGCTGGTCTGTAGTATTTGGGGAGAGTGTACTTCATTTGTTCCATAGAGACTCAAGTTGTAGCCAAACATGGATGTGGGCTGGCGGATTCTTGGGGACCCTGGGGCACTGCTCCCTTGCAGCCCGAGTACAAGTACAACGTTTGAAGCCTTCAGAACCACAAACAAAGATCCCTGCAACACCTGAAGCCCTGGAAGCCCGAAAACGAACCCCGAACAAACCGAAACCCCATACACCCCTAACCCCTAAACCTTCTGGAGCATTGAAACCCTATGCTGCAAGGACCCTTCAACCCTTACGAACTCCTGGAAATCCTTAGAGACCCCTAAAAGCCCCGAAGCCCGTGAGCCTTTCAAAGCGCTGAAACCGGAAGCAGTCGCTTCCAGGGAAAGTCGGATTCAGCAGTGATCCTTCTGCACAGAGCAGTTTCGGTGTTTGAGTTTCTTTGACCCGCGAGACACAAGCAGCGCCATCGATCCTTGCTTTTAGGGGGCTCAAACATAGTTTCAGCGCTGGTCTGTAGTATTTGGGGAGAGTGTACTTCATTTGTTCCATAGAGTCAAGTTGTAGCCAAACATGGATGTGGGCTCCTTTAGAACAAAAATGGATCCTCGGCAACAGTACAGGTCTGGCGGATTTTGGGGACCCTGGGGCACTGCTCCCTTGCAGCCCGAGTACAAGTACAACGTTTGAAGCCTTCAGAACCCTGCAACACCTGAAGCCCTAGAAGCCCGGAAAAAAGGCCCGAACAAACCGAAACTCCATAAACCCGTAACCCCTAAACCTTGTGGAGCATTGAAACCCTATTCTACAAATCCCCGCTGCCCTTGAACCCAAAGCCCCTAAACCCCTGAGCCTTTTAAAGCGTAAAAACCTGAAGCAGTCGCTTCCAGGGAAAGTCGGATTCAGCAGTGATCCTTGCAACTGCGCACCTGCACAGAGCAGTTTCGGTTTGAGTTTCTTTTACCCACGAGATACGAGCAGCACCATATGGGACTTGGTGCCGCTTGTCGATCCTTGCTGTAGGGGGCCTATACATAGTTTCAGTACTGATGAGGGACTCATCATCTTCAGACAAGGATCGGCGGCAACAGTAGCTTTGGCTGACCTTTGACGCCGGAAACCGCTCCCTTCCAGCCCGAAAGGACAGGACCTGCAATGTTCTACGCTCTTCAAACCTCGAGCCACAAACCCCTTAACCTCTGAAAGCCCCAGAGAAGCCTCAAGACCCCAAAAGCTCAAGAACCCTTAACCCCAACGCCTTCTGGACCCTTGAAAGCATAAACTCCAAGCCGCCTAAACCCCAAAATCCACACCAAAGCTTTGGACGTGTAATCTGTAGTTTCCTGGCTCGTGAAAGGCTCACGTGTTAACCTATCCGCGTTGTAACGCCGCCTCCCGTGTAACGAACATTCCTACCTAGGTTTGCAGGGTTCATACGGTGTATAAGGCTTTATGAGGGTTTATGTGGTTTATAGTTTCTACGGTTCGGAGGGTTTCTCGGGCTCATTGAGTTTTAGGGTTGATGGGGTTTGTCTGTAGGGTTGACAGACAGGGTTTTAAGGGTTTTCAGGGTTAAAGGTTTGTAGGGTTAATAGGGTTAATGGGGTTTGTGGGGTTTATAGGGTTTCTGCGATTTGTAGGGTTAGTAGGGTTGCAGCTTATGTAGGGTTCATAGGGTTTCTAGGGCTCATGAAGGCTTATCGGTTTATAGGTTTTTCTGGGTTTATCGGGTTGGTAGGGTTTATTGGGCTTACATGGGTTAGGGCTTAGGGCTTGGGGTTCGTCGCATGGATCCTTGGAGGGGGGGGGGGCGGGTGGTCCCTGTTCTGAAGCTCATGATTTAGGGTTTTCATAGTGCGTTTGCAGGTTTTGTGGCTTCTTTCATGTCAAAGAAGTTTTCAACATACCCCTTGGGCATACCCTTTACAGAAATCAAAGGGTATAGTAAAATCCTTCCTTCTATTCTCATTTCATAGGTGAAGGGGTATGGGGTATGTTTGTATAGTTTGTCCAAAAAGGGTTACACAGCGTTCATAGTTAGCACGGTCTATGGCGTTTATGCAAGGGGTTCATCAGGCTTCATAAGGTTTGCAGGGCTTCAAGGGTGTGTAAGGTTTAGCCGGTTTATGGGGTTTAGGCTTTGTAGGGTTTATTGAAGTTATAGGGTGTATGGGGTTTGTAGCGTTCATAGGGTTCATAGGGCATAGGCATCAAAAAAAAAATAATAAGCATCAAAAAGAAAAATAATAGGGATCAATAAAAAAAATAATAGGCATCAAAAAAAAAATAAGCCATCCGGCCCACCTGCGTGGTCCTCTGGTCCCGTGGTCCTCTGGTCCCGTGGTCCTCTGGTCCCGTGGTCCTCTGGTCCCGTGGTCCTCTGGTCCCGTGGTCCTCGGGTCCCGTGGTCCTCTGGTCCCGTGGTCCCCTGGTCTTGTGGTCCCCTGGTCCTGTGGTCCTCTGGTCTGCTTGTCTGTCCGCCTGGTCCTGCGGGTCCTGTGCTTATAAATAGATATTAAATTAGACAAATACGTAAAAACCAATAAATATAAATAAATAAATAAATAAATATATATATATTATACACACGATAGTGAAGGTCAACGTGTGTGTATATGTATGTATGTATGTATGTATGTATGTATGTATGTATGTATGTATGTATGTATGTATGTATGTATGTATGTATGTATGTATGTATGTATGTATGTATGTGCATATATATATACATATTACATAATACACATTACATTACACATTACCTATTATATACTATACATTATATATTATATATTATATATTATATATTATATATTATATATTATGTATTATGTATTATGTATTACGTATTCTGTATTTTGTATTATGTATTATGTATTATGTATTAATATTATTATGAATTGCTATATTATTTTAAAATGTTTTATCTACTATAGTATGATTTTTTATATTATGTGTGTTATATTATTTGTATTCTGTATTTGTATTATTGTTTATTATTATGTACTATGTATTATGTATCATATATTATTATGTCGTAGGTACTATGTTAATTTTGTATTATATATTATATACTATATATTTTATAATTATATATTATATATTATATATTATATTAATATTATATCATTTATTATATATTTTCATATGATTATTATATATTATCTGTTATAAACTATACATATATATATATATAATATAATTAAAATTATATCATGTGATATATATTATACTTATACTTATAATATTTATTATACATATATATATATATATATCATTTATAATTTATATTTATATTTTCTATTGTCGTACATTATATGATATGTGTATGTATATAAATAAGTAAATATAAATATGAATAAATACATAAACATAAATAAATAAATAAATAAATATATATATATATATATATCGCATATTGTATATT